GCCCAAATCGAAGATGAAACTAGGGTTTTTTACCCTAGTTGCTTCAAGCCGTTTCTCACCCATCTCAACAGCACCGCACGTCCCAGCCAACATTCCATGCCTCACGCCTCACGCCTCACCGATTTTCTCGGCGGTTACAACAACGAAACCAACCATCAACAAATATCAATAACCGAGTTTTACTCAGAACTAAATGTAAAAATAGGGTTGTTTTGTACTAAATTACATGTAAAATTGACGCTGGCAATAGACTATTACACGAGATTATGCTAGCAAACAAAGGGAATCAAACCCAAAGTAGTTGTATTGATTCGAAAAGCAAGAAAATAAAAAGGTATAATTTTTTACCTTCAATCGTGGCTTGCATGTTGTTTTGTTTTCCTTCGATTTAAGACCCAAACGTCGATGAAAATAGGGGGAGAGACTGAGACTTTCGATCTCAGATCTACTCTCCCCAAGCATTTTTGAAAAAACGACTTTAATATTCGGGTTGGGAGAGAGAAGAGCTCTCGAAAAAACTAATTTTTTTTAGGTTTCGTCGTCGATGATCGACGGCCGGTGCCGATCAATGGCGACCGACGAGGTAGCACGGTGGCCGAATTCTGGAAATCTCGCTGTGTTATTCATTTTTGAAGAACAGGCGAGAGGATATAGAAAGGGGAAGGGCTCTCGATTTTAAAATGAAACCAAATAAGGATTTTTAAAAATAGTTTAAGCTTTATACAACCCATGATCCGACTCGTGCAACCCGCAGCCCGACTCACCGCGTGTTCCATTCAAAAGTGGGTTAATACTTGTTTCGGTCCCCTTGTTTTAATGCTTTTATCTTGCCCCGAATTCGATTGGCCTCTCAATTTGGCCACCCAATTATTTCATCTCGATTTAGTCCCTGATATTTATATTTTAATTATTATTGTTTTATTTATTTATTAACTTTATTTATACGTATATATTTTTTATTATTCATTTGATTTATTTGTTTTTTCCTAGTTTCTTATATTCTTTATTTATATTTTTACAGTATATATATTTCCTTTTTATATTTATTATTTTTAGAAAATGTATATATGTATATATGTTATTTGTATTTATTTATCTGTTATTAATATCTAATATATATTATTTATTTTTTCATTATATATATATATATAATTTTTACTATTATTTTCTCTATTTTATTTATCTTTATTTTCATTTTTATTTTCATTTTATTTTATTTTCTTTATCTTTTTTATTTTTTATTTATTTATTTTACTTACTAGTTTATTTTTTTACTCTTTTTTCATTTATTTATTCTCTTTATTTTAATTTTACTTATTTATTTATTTCTCACATTCTTTTTTCTAACATGTTTCTTGACTTTCTTAAGGATACACTTTTAAAACTATCAGAGGTAAGTAATTTGGATAATTATTTTACCTTTTAATTTAACTTTCAATTTTCTTAATTAAAGACAACTGGAAATTACGTAGTACCGAAAGGGCAGTTCATGGGTGCTAACCCTTCCTTGACTGTAACCGACTCCCGAATCCGACACATCTTTGGTAAGACGCAGATCAGGTAAGAAATAAGGTATCCGATCAACCCATTTGTTTTAAAATAAATGATCGGTGATTCCAAATCATTTTTCCTAAGTCGAAACTCAATTCCGAGCCCACCCGAAAGACGGCGGCGACAATATTGTTTATTATTTTGTAAGTTCTGTGCACCTTAATGTCGAGCCGAATTCATTGTGTGGTTCATTCATTATTAAGAAAAGCATTCGTTTTGTTTCGTTTGCAGTCTCTGTGCATGTCTGTTGCAGTACTCCTAGGCATTGATATGAATCACTATTGCGGGTGGTGTCGATTCATCGACTGTATCCCTTACAAAAGGTGGAGCTGCAATGATGGACCAAAGACGTGAAGTATATATATATACACACACATAAACAGTTGATTCTTGTTTCATATTTGACTTCAAACACAAACTATAACTGCAGATCATGTAAATGCTTTCCTTTAACTGCATTCTGCAACGTCTTCCGGCGAATTCTGTACTCTGGTCGTTCTAATCACTTGACATGTAATTGCAGATCATGAAGAGCAACGCAGAGATGACATTGACCAGTTTGTATAATGGCAACACCAGGGTGTTCCCTTTCACCAACGTTTCACAGGCTAGGATGAATGACTTGTGCGCTATGATATGCTGATGGACTCAAAAAATTACAGTATCAGCTCCGGTATGGCTGGAATATACAGTGCATTTATGCTGATGATGGACTCAAAATCACAGTACCACTCGAATATGGCTCGAATATACAGTGCATTTTCAGACATGCTCATTCGATGTCGAACTCTTAGAGATTGAATGATCAAATTGCAAACCACTGACAAGAAAATTCATTCCTTCTGTGAATTCTCAGTTAAAACAGTTGGTGCTTCGTTCAGTAACAGAACTCTTAGGTATTGGTTGATATGTTCATATGAGTGTTGAAACTAAAGTTAATTTTTTTAAACCCAGTAACCTGAATCTACTTGCAGCACTAAGTCAATTTTTTTTTTGATAAATCACTAAGTCAAAATTGAATTCTTCGAATTCAAGTGTTAACGAAATCACCGATTTACTCAAAATCCATCAAAACATAATCATCATAAACCAAAAATAATAATATAAATTAAGTTTACAAAATATGGAGTTCCAATATTAAAAACAGAGTATAGTGACACCTTTAGCAAAATGAATTTATGACTAAAATAGACATAAGATCAATGAATAATTAATGTCCTCTACAAAATAGAGTTATGACGGAAATATACATGTTTAATAAAATATTTATTTATAATTTTTAAAACATAATTTTATTATTACAGTTTTAACATTATAATAATAATAATATTTTCGTTTTAATGAGTAATTAATAGAATTTATTATTTTTCTTGGTAAAGAATGTATGATTAAAGCGAAAGGATCAGCCATTGTCCTTCACAATTTCGAACGACTCCCCCGTAATAAGTCGATCCATCGCTAGAGTTTCTTCCACCGTCGGAGTTCAACTTAATCCAACCAGTGGGCGGTCGGCGCCACCGTAAAGGTACTGCTTCTTTAATCGCATGCACAGCCGAAACAACCCGCCCTTGCATAGCAACTTGTCGTGCTTCATTACACAATTGCCGAGTCTTCTACTTCTTTCAATAATAGTGCCAAATTCGCCCAACGGGTTGTTGAATACTCTTTCATTTCGATCCAACCATATGTGCCATAAAAGTAATCCGAATAAAATATCTCATTCTCTGATGCTGGGTACACACCACGAGGCATTTATAATATTTTATTTTAATGATATACTAGATTTAATATTTTTATTTATAAAATTGTAAAAAAAATATTTTAATAATAATAATATTGATATAAATGATATTGAATAAACTATTCTAATATTTTAAAATAATGATATTAAGTTTTTATAAGAAATACAATCATTTATTGTATTCAATATTTATAATAAATATTTTTTAAAAAATTATCAAATAATTGAAAATAATTTACAATATCATCCAAATATCGTAAAATTATTTTTAAAAATTATTTTTCAAAAGATATATTTAATTTTATGATTATAATTTTCTAGAATTTATATTCAGTAGTAAGATGGTGGTAATACAATTTTCATTTGCAGGCTGAGTGCAAAATGTTGCAAATACGTGATACAAACAATAAACAACTAACCAATGCAGGCAGTTATTAATATACAGCAGCCTGAATATCATCAAATTCCCAGTTTAACGAGTTAAGGCCTACTTATATATATAATGAGTTTTTGCTCGCAAATGCTCAACCATACTTTTCAAATTAAAAAAAAAAATTCAATTTTCATCACTATCAAATATCACATTCAAAATAAAACACTATTATCCAATGTATCAAATAAATTAAATGTTAAAAACCCTAGCTTTTTCCTACTAGCAGGGAGTCTTTTCTTTTCTTTTTTAATTGTGACAGCCGTGACACTAATTTTAATATTGGTTGCCGACTGTTGGTGTTCATTTTAATCATTGTTTTCTCATATCTCGCTTTGGTTTGTTATTTTATCAAATTCTATTCTAATTATTAATAAAAAATTTATTTTTTTGACTACTTATTTTTCGCATATTTTGTACATATTCTTTTGTCTTTTTGACATGTTTTAACTCTGTTCTTTTGGCACGTTTCCTCTATGTCATGACACATTGTTCGTCTACATCTGTGGTAGATACATGACCGTATAAAAATTCTCTCGTCCCTCATATTTGATTTACGGTAATCGATGATCTTTTAATGGTTAGATTCTCTTTATAGTTCTTTGTCGATGTATACAGATCTATTTTGCGAAGCAACCTGTAAATTTGCTTTAGTTTACTCGACACTCCTCCATCATACATTTAGAACTTGTTATTTTATTTATTTAAAATAAAATTTTTTAATTAAAATATAAAATTATATTTGACTAAATTATAGAATTTACTTCTTTTTCTAACGTATATAAAGAAATAAAGTAAAACAGTTTTAGACATTAACAATGTAGTGTACCAAGTAGACTTATGTGCTAGATGAATGTCCGCTTTTCCTTTTTGAGTGGATTACAACAAATACAATATTCATTATTGTGAAATATGTTCAAAACAACAAGTATATATGTTTTCTTCTCTTATAAGTAGTCAAAAATAGATTTCATCTGCGGCAACTTTGAAATATTAGATAACGACGTTAAAACAGAATTCCATTTTTGCTAAAATAATACTAATCCTTATCCAACGAAAGGCGAGGCCTTCATCCTGTGCCTAGGCTCCAGGACTCTTTGCGCTTCGGTGTGACATTTTAAACCTTAGGATACTCCTAAAAGCCAACCTTTTCTATATTAGTGTCTTCTAGGGGACTTGCTATCAAAGATAGAAATAGCAAACAACCAAACCAAAGAGCATGGAATTTTGATTATTATTATAAGACAAGTCAACCAATTGATTTGCTCCAATCATCTCAAGTTCCGAATCCAACTCAAAATAAAATGCAACTCTCTAGTGTATTAAGACACCATATATGTCAACAATTTTATAACAGTCAAAGTGTCTCCAACTGCACAAAACTAATACCAAAACCAGAAAATAGAAGAACTCCGGATATGCCTAGTACAGACATTGTAAAATAAGGAGACAACTTCCTCCCAGCCTGAATTTCCTGCAAAATAAATCATAAGTGAGGACAGTAGAACAGAAAATGATGTGGAGTGCAACTCAAGCAATCAACTTCTAACCAAGAAAAACAGATATAAAACTACACCATCAAAATATTACGACACCAAAATTATGAAGCTCAAAATATGCACAGTATATGATGTTTATATATAAAGAAAAGTATATATATTTAGCCGTGCAGAACCATGCTAAAACACCATAGCAGATTAAGCAGATTACCATTAATCTTTAGTAACCTTTGAGTTTACTTATTAAGCTCTTTAGTGGAAGCTTCCGGAACAACTGTCCCTGGCCAAAACAGAGCTCATAAAACAAACTGGTTTTCTCAAAACCTTCAAAAAGGGTTGTCTGTACCACAAATCATAATCAATTCCGGGTGATTCTTGGAGAACATTTATATGCCTCCAAATCAGAGCCTGGTTTTGATGCTCCACCCTTTCCTAGCTCAGACAATGTTGCTAAAGAACAAGGGAACTATTTGGTTTGATACTCATTCTTTATAGGCAGTCAGTGGGGGTGGAAAGGACTAAAAGAAGTTACAAATCCCGCTGATCTTTTTGAGAAGATGCAGGTATGAGCCTAGTAAAAACTGATGAATAGTATGTTTAATCTTTAAAATCGTGAATATCAAAATAAAAGTTCAAAACAAGGCCAAGGATATCAAAATACATGACAGAAAACTAAGAGAATGATCTATAACCACAGTCACATAACAAATTACAACAAAAATATAGAGTATTTCTAGAGGAACAAGATGCCCAATAGATAATGCTTTATAAGTCCAGGACGCACAAATGGAAAGTACATCATGTGAAGTTACATATGATATAGAAGGGAAAAAATGGGTAAAACTTGGACAATAAAAACAACACATTTATGCATCCAAATGGTAGAATGATTAACTTGTGAAATCCAATCAGAGAAACAATACCTAAACAGTTTGTTTGGATGACAACATGGGCATGGATTCATTCACAGAGAAAAGCCTTTGAAAGCTGAAGCTCTCTCGCATTGGACGTCAATCCTGTCAAGCAGCTTCGAAAAGCCATAAGTTGAAGATAGATCTAATGTGTTCTTTTCACTCACAGCTTCATCGTATCTTTTACCACTATCATCTTCCATGCTACCAACATTACCAAATATGCTTCCAACAGGATGAATTATCTGGCCAAACAATTGAAACGAATTAACACCTACTTTGCTTGAGCTGCAGTCAACATTTTCAGTAAATTCTGTGCCAAATGAAACCATGCTGCTCTGACTATCTGGTGACAAATTATTGGACTGTGAACTGCCAATGTTAAGCTCAGTGGATATCCTATTCAACTTGGGCAGCCAATAGTCGCTAGGGAATCTATCAGTGGACATCATTGGGGTATTCTCACTCACATAGTTGTTTGAACCTTGCACGTGAAAATGATTTTGCCTGGCTCCCTGCATGCCAGCAGGAATGTAATTCAATAGTGATGGATTTGTGTACCTCAGTGTTGAATTGGTTAACCCTGTCATAGGGAATAAGATCTCTCCCTCTGAATCAGCCAGCCCAGACTCATGAGAAAGTTTGGACTTCTTTGCCAAGGGAAATGAGGAATGAAGCGGTAAGGAGGAAGCAATTTCGACTTGCCATGGGCTCACTCTCTTTGAATTCTGGAGAACATCAGGATCATCCCATGCAACCTAATGATATAAAGATAATGAAGCCGCGAGTCAGCAAAGGTGAAGTGGTAGATATTTTATAAGTAGCAAAATTAATAAAAACCTAACACCTCTCAAATACCCACATGTAAGATTAAATAAACCACATCCTAGCACAAAACTCAACCCCCAAAATGTGGCCTCTGAAATAGAGAAAACAAAAAACTAAGAAGAAACTATTCCACCATTATTACTAGTCGCATACACATGGGTGAAGTGCATATGAAACCAGACCTCTATCAAAGCACCAAAAGTTCACTTGTTCCCTACTAAGAAGATCAGATGACAGAGAGTACCACAAGATGCATTTGAACCAAGAAGCAAATCTAAAATTTGCCAAACTGATACGAACTAAAGTTATTAATCTGTAATTTTCTTGGAAGTCAAGAGGCTTGAAGTTGAAAACATGAGCACTTTATTCTTTTAGCAAATATAAAGTAATTTTAGATTCACGCGTAGTAAATATCAAGACAAATATATAATGTGTTACTCCTAAGGAGAAACCGCTATATATAAAGCCATTCAAAATTCACATGACAAGCCAGTCAAAAGTCAAACACAGCCTATAAGAAAAGAACGAAATTGATGCAAATCATTTCCAATCTAAATCAATTACTAAAAATCTGAACTGCACCACCCCAACCTTGAACCTTGACTAATTTCCTATGGAGACTAACTCCAAGATTTATTATACATTTTTCTAGATTCTATATCTCCAATCTCATTAAAAGGATAAATTAATGGTTGTGAGAACCTCAGTATAGAGCACCGATTTCAGAGGAAAATAAGCAAAAATTGATATATACGAAAGTAAAATGCAGCCTCCTGCTATTCCTCGCTCAATCAATATACCATCAACACTTGTTCTAAGTATGCATTTTGACTGATACAATTTTAAGTCAATGTTTATATATGGAAAACTTAGCACCTTCTGGATTAATAACCAATAAATTGTTAACGCTGAAGTTATCAGCAAAATGCATTCTATTTAACAACCACAATTCAGACTGAGTTCAAAGCATTTTTACCAGAAGCATTCGCCAAGGAGAGGCAATCCAGGGGCCAGAATCCGACGAAGCAGCAGAAATAACAGTCCCTTGAAAGGACGACATTGTTGAGGAATCCTCTGTTTCAACTGCAATCTTCACTCTGGTCCCAGCAGACCAGTATATACTGAGTCCAGCCTCCACCAAGTCCGCTCTCACCACAAAATCAGTCCAACCGGGCCGAGGATAGTACACAACCTCGAATGGCAACCCCTTCGCGGCCCTCTCCGCTGCTTCCGCAACTGCCTCAGCCGTCATCCTCCCCCTTCCTTCCCCTTTCATTGCTCCTTCTTCACTTGGCTCTCTCCACCTCCCAGAATCCCCTCCCCCTTCTTTTTTCATCACCCGACGGACTCCGACATACATTTTTTCATTTCCGTCCCTCATGAAAACGACGGAATCTCCGGCAATGAGCTTCTTTTGATTAACAAATTTGCTCCATCCTGTAGTGAGCAGATGCCGCCGCGGCGTTCCCCGGTAAATGTGGCGAAACTCCCAAGTCCCGCCGCGAACGTCGGTGACGGAGAGAGTCTGAACCGGCGGATCTGCATTGTAATCCAGAGGCGGGAAGATAGAGTCGGCGCAAAACCGCGGGACCGAGAATCCGCCGCCATTGTTAGCATCAGACGGCGTTAAAATCTTGGCAAACGACACGATCTTATCAGGATCTTCAAATTCACAATTAACGTCCATAAATTGATTGGGAAGTCTAGAAGATTCGTCAGGGACGAGGAAGAGTTTCACGAAGACTTCGTCAGTTTTGGGATCCGCGAGGCAATGAACGTCGGAGATAACGCAAGCGATTGCAGGCCTGGAGAGTACGAGAGAAGACAGTGACGGCGCCGAACCGCATGATTGTTCCACGTGTCCTTGAGGAAAGTAGTAAACTCTGGAGTTAACACTGGGGATTCGAACGGAGGAGCCAGCGCAAGCTCGCCAGATCCTTAAATCGACGTGGCGGACCTCCGCAGCAGGCGGCCGTGGAGGCGGCATCGATCGGCTTAGGGTTTTAAAAAATATACAGAAAGTATAGTATGTTGAAAGGGCAGAATCGGGGAAAGAGTGTGAGGGTCGGAGAAACAAGCAGGAAACCAAAATTCTGTTAGCATCAGGAGAAATAGGCCAATTCTTCGATTGGTTAGAAATTTACAGTTTTAGCCCACGACCAACTTACCCTCTCTATGTCACTCTTGTGCTCATTGCGTGACCTTCACTCGCTATTTTTTTGTTCGGTAATAAAAAACATCAAAAAGTTACTATTTTATTCTAATGTTGAAGTACAAAAATACCCTTTGAGATGATTGAGGAAGGAGTGTGAAGGAGTCCACTAATATAAACATATGGTGGGGATAGATTTATTTGTCAAGGGTATTCAAATTAATCTGTTATCATTAATCGTAACTATTAACTGATGTAACTGTTATATTTTATATATTAATTAATTGAATTTAATATTTAAAGGTTTTGATTAATCGAACCGTTAAGAATATCGATTAACGGTTACAGTTACAGTTAATTAATTTTGATAAATGGTTAACCATCGATTAATTATTAATAAATTATAATAAATTATATTTTTTAGAGAATGGAATTAGAAATAAAATCAAAATGATTCCTCTTATGTTTTTAGTTATCATGTTTATCTTATATAGGAGCACATTAAATTAAAAATATATGGAAGAAATAAATGATTTAAAATAATAAAATATAAATATACACATAAAAATTGAAACTATAAAAAATAAATATACCTCGTAATATATATATATATATATATAAAATATATTTACAAATAAATAAATTTTTTACAAATATATATGTTTCTACCGTCGTAAATTTTATGAAATTTAAAAAAATTTAAGTTGTGTTATGTTTGAAAAATATTGTAATAGATTAATCATAGGTTATCCTATAACTGAACCATTAATAATGGTTAACTGTTAGTGGTTAACCGTTTATTAATGGTTCGGTTGTTGTCGGAACGATCCTTAAGCATTTTAGGGCTATGACGGGGATCGATCAAACTTAATCTTGGGAAAATGTTGGTTTTTAAATGAATGCCTAAATAAAAAAATTTGGAGGCGCCATTGACCTTTGGGTTAGGTAGGTCGAATACCTAAGAATACCTTTTAAAATAATTTTAAGAAAAATAATTTTAAAAGATAAAAAATTGATCTTCATTTAACCAGAAATTCATTTTAAAAAGGGTTCGGGAGTCGATTACGTGTGGGGAATGATTAGCACCCCCACAACACCTGAAATCGATACCTAAGCGATTAGTTGATTGATTTGGTGTAGGTGGCTGGCTAAAAAGGCTCTAGCAGGAGCCACAGCGGCATGAACAACAGGAGACGACGATGGTGGTAGTATTGACTTCCTAGGGTTAGGGTTTCTGAAACCCTAGGGTGTTATTGGGTCGGGTTGTAATCGGTCTGACGTTGGGCTTCGAGTGGTTGGGCTGGAATTGGGTGGACCGACTTGTTTGGCTTTGTAACTGGGCCCAGTGTCGGGCTTGTTGTAATTGGACATGTAAATAAGATTTAATTATTTAATAATATTAATAATAATAATAAAATAATAATAATAATAATAATATAGCGGGACGAAAACCACTGTCTACAACTGCCCCTTTTTGCTCGTTCTTATATCAACAAGAGTAGGGCAAAGACGAAGAGACAATGAGTTTTCGTCCAGTCGACTTCACGCTTCAAAATTTGATGATAGATCTGTTGAGTTAATCGATCGATGTAATAGCCAAGAGGGGGTGAATTGGCAATAAATATTTCGGTGGAAGCTTTTGCAGAAAATTGAAAAAGATTGTACAACGATTTAGAGTGGTTCGACTTCTCAACTAAGTCTATGTCCACTACCTTAGCTATCCACACTAAGGATTTTCCACAAATTCACTAATATGTCTTTCTTTTGAGGACAAAGAGTAACCTTACAACTCCCTCAAGAATTATACCCCAAATTCTTGAGAACACTCTCTCTCAAAGAGAAAAATACAAATTTTGCAAACTTACAGAAAACCTCACAAGGCAAGATGTTTGCACAATTCTAGAACAAAGAAAGAATACTCAAGAATGAATACAATTGAGCACAAAATGGTGTTCTTGAAAGCAAAATGAATATTGAATGAAAAATAGGCTTGAAATGCTCAAACAATAAGGTTTGATTCTTTCTTTTTGATTCTCTCTTGATACTTATTTCTTGATCAAAGGCTCTTGAGCTTGTTTAAATACACCTTGGATCACTTTTGAACGTTGGGGGATCATTGGTGAAGTCAATAGAGCCGTTATGGTGTAATTATCATTTAAAAAATCTGTTAGGAGCGTAGGTGTATCGGTACACTCAGTGTAAAATTCAAATATTTCGACCATTGGTTGACCTAGTGTATCGGTACATCCCAGTGTATCAGTACACTAATTACATTCGATGTTTCTCAGAGCCAGGAGTGTATCGATGCATTAGCTGTATATTGGTATACAAAATACATTCGATGTAGGGGGTGTATCGGTACATACAAGAGTGTATCGATATATCCCTTTGTAAAAATTATTTTTGACCTGATTAAGGTTCGAAATACTTTGTAAAAATTGTTTCTAAAATATTTTAACCCTAAAACACAATTTTACACTTAAGTAAGGATTAAAATTGACATTTGAAAAACTTCGAGTAATAGTTTTTATATTCGAATAATTTACTCGAATATTAATTTTGAAATCGAATATAAAATCTTAAAATTCAATAGTACTAAATTTGTTATATGAAAACATCAAATTTTCAACAATCTCCCCCTTTTTGATATAACAAAACATTTATGTAATTTTAAGATTTTCTTTGAAAATCATTTTTGAAATCAATTTTGAAAATTACTCCCCCTTACTTTATTCTCCCCCTTTTTGTTAAATCAAAAAGACTCTATGAAAAATTTAAACAAGGTTTTAAAGAAAATAGCCAATTGATTTTTATAACTAAATATAACTTAAGCTGCAAAAATCACAATCGAGAGAAAGATTAGCCATTAGTCCATAATCAATATTCAAAATAATGTGCAATGGTAATTGGTCATATTTTAACTAAGATGTAAATGATGCATAATATTAAACAAACCAAATTCAAAAAATCATATATATATATATATCTAAACATCCAAGTTTAATCATCCAAACATCCATAACACAAAAATCCAAAACAAAAACATCTAAAATGTTTTAACAATATATAATTCAAATTAAATCCAAGAAAACTAAGCAAGGAAAGGTTTAATCATCCATAAGTGAATCGGAAGGAGGAAAATGTGATAGCATAGTGGCCATATCGAGTGAAAGTGCATGTAATCTCTCGTTAATAACCTCATTGTTTGCTCGTATATCCCGTTGAATTTCCAATTGTTGAGCCCTCATAGCAGTTAAATGAGACTCTATGGATGCAAACCTCATATCAAATGTCTTCAAAAATGATCAAAAGTATGGAGGCATTTGATCCTCTTGCTGGACCGGCGCATCCTCAGGCACTGATCATCGATTGCTCGCATAAGTTCTTCAAGCTCAGGATCATCATCAGCTGTCGGTGTCGGTGCTGTTCATGAAAACTAGCACCTGGTGTTTTCTCGGTGGATCGAACCCATTGATCCTTTTCCCCGGACCATCCCAATTTCTTCAAGGTTGTGAAATTTTTTTGGTTCTTAGGGGGGATGGCTACATCAAGAGAGACCTTAAGATTGGATTTGATAAACAAATTACTTAGAAGATAACCGTAAACCTATGTTTCTATATATTTGGACGGGACATTGTTTACGGTTTCTACTAGCTCATCGAAAATGATTTGTGGAAAATTTATTTTCTTTTTATGTTGGATACAATTTATCCACCATAAATCTAAAACTCTAAGGGTGGAGTACCTACCTCCAGATGGTCTAAACCACCAAGAGATAATCAAATGAAGAAAACACTCGTGATAAGTTAACAAGGTACTTGCACTAGGCTTAGCTTTATAAGGTGTAGCCACAATTTCTTTTTCATTATCTAAACCCAAGTTATCTAAACCAAAGGTGTTAGCGATTGTGTCGGAGTCGATATACACGAATTGACCTAAAAGATAAGATAGAATCCCTACGGTGGAAGTTTGAGACTAGTTTTGGACACAAGCCTGATTGGAATAGAAAATGCGGACTAGTTGGTGATAAATAATGGGTTTGAGCTGAAATAGTTTATCAAATTTCCAAGATGGGAGGGCAGGAAGATATTCGAATTTCATATTGACCATAGCTTGGATTGAGGGGATACACTCTTCCCGGATTTTATATGACTCGAATGAGTTAACGAATCTATGGTAAAGATCTTCTCTACGACCAGGTTGATTAAAGTAAGAATTAAGGATAGTCATATCGGGAGCGTTTGGGTTTGGATTTTGAGGTGGAATAGGAGGTCGGTTTTGAGGTTGTTTTGATGACCGACTAGACGAAGTCCTAGGGTATTTTGAATGAGACATGGTTTTTAATTGGAATGGATTAAGGGATACCTGCAATTAAAAAAACGTGTATGCAATATAATCAATCCCAAAACTCAATGTGAGTTCGCAATATTCAAGGTTCTCTAACCAATATCCTAATGGGAAAAATTTGAAAACTATTTTGAAAACAATGTTTGAAAAATCATAATACGTATAGTTTTCATAATTCAATCAAAAACATCACTTTTAAAATCAAAAACATTTTTTTATTTATTTCGAAAATTAAATTTTTTTTGAAAAATTTGTTTTTTGTTGAAATTAATTGTAGAATCTAGTTTAGAAACATAATATAATTACTGTTCAATTTCTATTTTGGACTAGAACTAACTAAAACTAGTCATATGTTTAAAAATCAATAAAATAGAGTTTTTTTTTGAAATACTACCTTGAAAATTTGGATTGAGTGAGAATGTGATGTTGTTTGCACGAATTTAATGAATGTAGTAGGATCAGAAGTTGAAAATTGAACAAATTTTGACTTGATTTCGTTGATTTGAAGCAATTTTGAGAGTAGGGTGAGGAGAGCAAAACGGCGTTGAGTGTTTGGGTTTATGTGGTTTTGGCAGTTATGTGATATTTAGGGATTTAAAACCAAAAACCCGATGGGTGTATCGGTACACTCCTGAG